AGATAGAAAACTTTGTATCAATTTGACTGTATGATCTGTTTGAACTGTAAAGTGCCAGGAGATGACATTGACTGGCGACCTGTCCAGGGTGGACCCCGCCTCTCGTCCGTAGACAGCTGGAGATAGACACTGCTTGGGATGAGAGTGATTGATGGACTGATCACCGTCGTTGTCACTATCTCTCAAGGTGCGTTAAACAAAATTTTAACTTTTGCAGCTTGCCCTGCAACTGGAGGGTTGTTGGTCAAGCCCTGACTGTGTCCTTAATTAATAAATAAATAATAAAAGGGTTAAATTCCACAGGTTTAAAAAAAGCCAGAAGAATGGACTGTTATAGCCTAGGAAAAGAGAGCGAGCTCTGTTCTTATTACACGGAAACATTTCTTAATGTACTTTGGCGAAAAATATCTACATTAACTAGAAATTTTTAATTTAGTTTATTTATGTAGCACAACACGATTCACAACACGTCATCTCAAGGCACTGTACAGTTCACCAAGTCATCCAAGTCAAATTGATTCAATAATTTTCTACCTTGAGGAAAACAAGTTATTGAAGCGACTCATTGACTCAATGAGACTCAATGGACTAAGTACAAAAATCTCATTTAAATGATAAGCTTTGATTAATGTGTCTTAATTTCAAGAAAAGTAACAAAATTATTCAGGCTCTTGAAATCTCGCCCATTTTTCCATTCTTATTACTATATTCACAGTAACTGGATTGTTCTAAATATAAAAAAGAAGTAGAATGGACCCTCCCCACGCAACTATAGCCTTCTGACTAAAATCTGCAGGCCCATGGAGAGTGTCTGGAGAACAATAACAGCACAATTGGAGCTGTTTTATGGAAGAGCTGAGGTCCAATTAAGGCAAGTAAATTAACCCTCCTTTAGAAAATCAGTGACGTTCATGCAGATAAGTGTCAGGGAGGATGAAAAGTGATCAATGAAGAAGCACAATGCAGCGTAGGTGTGCAATCCCACACCCAAAAAAGAAAACAATCATTTCCAATTGAAAAAAGATCAAATATAAACTATAAATTGTGTCTCTATAAAATTACTTTCTAGAAATGTATATATGCTGCTGTAACAAAAAGAAAAGAAAAAAAAAATCACTGGGTGAATTACCATGGAAACTGAGTCAGACTCAGAGTGAGACACGTTAATGAAACCCAAATGACAACAAAATAAGCTAGACTTGGCCAACCAAACCAGAGGCCAGAAGAAGAGGAACCATGAAGAAAATGACAAAATCATCAGTTTTCGTAGAGCCAGTCTAGCAAATGAATTGAGATACAGTATAAGAGGTTATACGACTTCCGGCTTCATTGACTCCTCAACAAACAGAACGTTGGAAGTTCAGTCTCATAACTCTCATTTTGACTTTCTTTGATTCGCTCTTGCCTTTGCTTCCTGGTTAGTGACTCTGGTTAAATCATCAGGATGCATCTTTTTTGATTTGCCTATATGACTTTGATCCATAGCTTTTCTCTGACCATGCACTGAATTATTGGATCGGATCTGTTAGCCTTGTGTGTTGGCCTTGCAACTCAGATCTGAGAAGAATTGTCTGCATGGGATTACCCCTATCTGCTGTGGCATCATCTGCCAGATGCTTTTCCCCAAGGTTAGGAAATCAGCAGCGCCGTCCTGGAGGTTATATATCTTCTTCCTTTGTCTTAGTCATCCTTGTTAGTCTATATCGCTGACCCTTCCTCTCACCAGATGCTCTTGGGTGCATCTTCAAGTGTTCCGATCAACCACTGAGGAGTGCTAAAGTAAAACAGATAAATCTAGGCTCCCAAATCAATCTCTAATTTAAAAATTCTGTTAATGTGTTTCAGTTTAGTGTAATGGATCACCAGGGAAATCTAGGAGCCACTGTGTATACAGATGATGTGTTCATCATGGATGCATAAAAACAGCCATTAGTATGCACATGCTTTAAAAGAAGACTTGGCCATTTGGGAAAAAGGATGAATTTGAAAGTTCAAACAAAAAGGTTTTCTCTGGACAACTGTGGAAAAAAAAACGCTGAATTAGAGAGTTTATGCTAGGAAAGGAGCACACTTGTGAGGAAATCTTGTAGAGCAGAGGTCTTCAACCCTGGTCCTCATTGTCCAGCGTGTTTTAGGTGTTCTCTTACATCCATAAACCTTAATTAAATGAAATGATGATTAAAAGACCTCTGATTTACTAGTGCATTTATAAACCAAAGGCTTGAAGTCAATAGCATGTTTCATTATCCCTCCTAACATGAAGGACTGAAAGTACAGTAGTAGCCATTCAAAATGTCCCCACTTTCCTTGACTGGCCCTTGGCTAGTCCCCTACAATTTGTTTTTAAACATCTAAAATATTATTTCTGTCGTGATTTGTGGACGTTAAGATCTAAAGAGAAGAGTTATCTCCTGGTCAGACCCTGTAATTCAGTGAAAGGGTGGAGCCAGAGTAAAAAATATGCACTGCGGAAAGCCAGTGGCAGGAAGTTGGAGGGGATTTTGCTGCCATTCGGCTGGCTTTTCACTGAGAAGGACCATTTTGAATGGCTGCTTCTCTAGTGGGAGTCCGAAAAATGTAAGCTTTAGGCTAAACTCTAAGCACTAACCCTTGTTTGCGGGTTACTGCGGAAGGTCCTGCACAAGTGCCATCCCAAATCCTGTAGTGGACAGGACCAATGGACCGTCCAGCTCTCAAATAGTGAGTCTGCATCATTGCAGGCTTCCTGGAATTTGGCAGTGAGTGTAACGGCGAAACAGTGGCGCAGGAAGCATGTGTATTCAAACGTCAGTTCCGCTGTTTCTGCATCTTCGTAACACTGACAGAAAATCACATGTTAGGAAAAAGACAAAAGATGTAATTAATCTCTAAACGGAAGTTCCTCTTTGTAATAGTTTGATTTGCATGGTTAGATTTATTTTGAAGGAAATGGCGAATGTTTGCTGTTATGTCAACCTGCACCACAGAGCTCCAGCCACGCACAAGCAGCTTCATTGTGTTGCCATAGGAACAACTGCTTTGCCTTCCCATTGGAGGGAAGAGGCCATCCCTTTCATGTTTATATCCCCCACGTACAATCCAGTTGCCCTCCACAGTTATTAGTCTGACTTGATTTTGATAGTTAAGGGGCGGTTTGGGATTCAGCCTTAGACTTACTTTAACCTCTCCTCCAGAGGCTTGCCTCTTGGAGGCTAGCTGGTTCTTCAGGTCTCTGATCTCAGCCTCCAGCAGTTGGATAACTTCCTCATAGTCCTGCTCAGCGGTGGTGGCCTGTCGCTGCACCGCCCCAGCCTCAGCTGCCTGCAGACGACTCTTCAGACGGGTGTTCTCCTCCACAGTCAAACAGGCTTTCTGTAAAGTTCAAAACAAGGAGCTGCAGTTAGGATTTTTAAGTGTTGTTCGAACATATCAGAGGTAGCTAGCCAAAAATTTACCTAGCAACATAATTAATATTTGCTCTAAGACGTGTTGTTTTTCAGAGCTGAGCCTTACCCCTTCCTTATGAGTCTCAGCTCAGAAACCAACACAGGTTCATAG